GTAATTCATGTCATGGTCCACTACACAAATTCCATAAAATGTTTAACATAGCATCTGCCTATATACCGCTCTTCTGAAAGAATGTGTGGGCAGTTTATACAAGCTCATACTAGTTTGTGTCATTTTAAGCTGCAAATAAAAGACTGCATGTGTAAATGAATCCTTAACAGAATAATTAAAAAGAGATAGCAATAAGAATATCTGAGGCTATGTCTAGTAGCTGCTAGAGGAAAACATGATTTTTTAAAAAATAAACATTTGACCTACAAATACAATTTAGAAACAACTTTGCTGTGTTTTGAGTTTTTATCAGATTTTAGCATACCTTCCCACTCTCCAAAGAGTGCTCATGGCAGCTTATATTACATAGCAACCAAACACAGAAAAACAGCATTAATCAAAACTATATTGCTAAATGAAAAAAGAGGGAGAAAAAGGAGAATGATATAAAGGCCAGGCCAATCTAGATTATTTTGAATGTATAAACAAATCTTATGTACTGCAACAGTACATAACTATGCACGATTCAGTATTAAAGCCATTTGCCTTGCAAAACAAATGATATTTGGACAGCTTTTGTGTTCTTTATAGCATAGTTGACACTGTCAGATGATTGGCTGTCCAAGTAATACTTAACCCTCTTGTCTTCATGGACTTTGAACAAGAAATGGAACCGCTTCTCCAACCATTCAATTGTTTACTACTATACAGAGCATAGTTTAGTAGAAGATTTCACTAATTCCTCACTGAGGGAAGAATTTTGTTCTTTCTCTTTAAATATTTTTTCACAGGCAATGTGAGGGTAAAGTTCAGTGTGGTTCCAGCTTCCCATAACAACAATTCTTCTCTTTCCCAAACACTTGCACATTTCCTTAGAAACAGGTGACAGACATCTGCAAAGCTCAGTTCAACCCTGAAAGAGCTGTAGGCTGTAGCCCCACTTGATCAATTGTACATGTTCAATCTTAATACCAAGATGAATCTATATGCTACTAAAACTCTCATTGTCATAATCTTTAATAGAGTGAAATGGTGCCTCATAAGGCAACAATTTTTGAACTGATACCTCAAATGGGCTTATTTATGGAATGTGTCGAAAATCCAGAACCCATAACTCCCAAGGAAGTTGTGGCTGCTTCAGTGCTACTGGCTGCTTCTGCAGTGCTGGACTGCTACTGCAGTCATGTGATCTTCATTTTCAATGTTCCAGGACCATTTCTCAATCAGTCTTGCAATCTCTAGCTCGCTGCCCCATCCTGCAACTGCCACTTATCTGCCTGATAGTTAGGGAGGTAGGGAGGTAGGGAGATAGGTAGGGAAGGAAGGAAGGAAGGAAGGAAGGAAGGAAGGAAGGAAGGAAGGAAGGAAGGAAGGAAGGAAGGAAGGAAGGAAGGAAGGAAGGAAGGAAGGAAGGAAGGAAGGAAGGAAGGGGCATCTGCGGCTCCTTGCCAGATTCTGACAAGGAAACTCAGTAGGAAAACTGACAGGATTCAGAAGTCCCCCCCCCCACTACCACTTTTTCCCCCACCTGTGTTCATTCTGTTCCTCTGTTTAGATAAGGAAATATCTCTGGAACAATGACCCACAGCACATGGTTTGCCTTGTATCACTTAAATGTCTCCAGGCTATACATCACAGCCCTCCCACTCTATGTGAGTGAGTGTTGAAGCAAACTAATAAAAGAATATAATATTCATATGTAAAAATAAAAACAAATATCTCACATTTAACAAAGTGTACATTTTAAGATAAATCTAAGGATTAATTAAAGCCCATATAAAATTCCATACATTTCCTATACGTATATAATTAAGTAATGAAGATAAGTAAGGAAAATATAATCACTGGCCCAAAAATAATTTATCAAAATAGCAAATAACAGTATATATTGTCACATAATAACATTATCAGCTGCTATAGTCTATGGTACTGCCACCAAAAAAGAATGCAAGACTTGCTCTTTCTGCTGTTTATAAATATGTTATTCTATGCTAAAATATAAAATTGTGTGGTTTAAAGTACCCCAGAGAAACTTCCTATTGGAATCTCCCAAGTGGCCAATAGGGAGCATTTAGAAGCTCAAGACCAACTCCAAATTAATATTTAATTACATTGGCAATGAAATCTTACGTCAGTCTAGGCAATGGGATGGCATCATCTTCCATTTCATCTTCCATCTCTTTCTATAGTTTGCTGAGAAACCCATTCACTCAACTCAGTGGCCCTGAAGCCCATAAAGTATTATCACAATTCTCACCTAGGTGAGGTTCAGGGTTGGCTAGCTCTCACAATCAGACACTGCAGTGTTTGTTGTTGAAGCAGTGTGTGCATTTTGAAAATAAATCAGGAGCATAGAACATTTTCAGGGCCATAGGCCACATTGGTTAGTTGGTTTTGGTTTTAAGGCTTATAGTGGGAAATACGGTGTTATTCAAATGGACCGAGTTGCAGTCTTTTTTGTTCTTCCTTTTTCCCCCTAACTTTGGGAGAGTTGTTACTTTAAGACTATTTTAAGGTTTATATTAAGTTTTTCACGCACACATACAGGCACACATTTCAAAAGGGAAAGAAAAGCATCATTAGTTGTGGTATGAAATGTTTGACTTCCTCCAAGAAATTTCAGTTTGAATTGCTTTCTAGATAATAATTTGTGCAAATCATTTTGAAAGCAATGCCTGAAAGAAATGCTAAAATGGGGACCTGTGGAACATTTGGCCTACATCTTCAGTAAACTTTCTTTTCCTTAAAATTCTTTCAAAATATATTCTGATTTAGGCTAGCAGCTCCAAATAAAAGTTCATTTACTAAATAATGCCAATTTATGTTATTTGCTAGTTTTAAACTGGAGATTGTGGCCTTGGTATAAGTGTAAATTTATATTGTAGAAAAAAGTAGAAGGGGGGGAAGACTGAGTAACTTATCCTGCCTCTTTTCCTTTGAACAAGTGTTCATTAATCTAGCATTCATCCAACTATATATGTAATGCTTTTTGGAACAGAAATATTTTTGTTGGAGAGCATCATCTTTTATGAAAAAAATCCCATTAAAAAAATCCCTCTTCTCCATCTGTGGAAATCTCATTAGATAGTTTCAAATCAGCTGGCATCTGGAAAAAATCATTCTCTCTAAACAGAAAAATATGTCATAAATGTCATGAGGAGTGTTGAGAGAACCACATGAAATTAGTTTGGTTCCTCAAATCAGCAACTGGGGCCTGAACTGTAAGTGAAAAACAGATTTTTCCAATAGGCATTAAATAGATTTCAGTCAGGGTTTTAAGCAACATGCAAGAAAGGGCCCTATGTAAAATACAGAAAACAAAGTTAGAAGAAAACTTTTCAAGTCAAAATGATTATCAGGCTTCTGAAGGGATACATTTTGATCCTGCAAGACAACAGAAACTTAAGTTATATGAGACTAATGTATATAAAGATCACAGACCTATTCATATGATTCCTCAGTTATTAATGCACAGCAGACTGATAGCATTTCCAAATTTTTCAAGAAATTCATATTTCATAAGTTCCTTTTATTTTAACAGATAGCTAGGCCAGAACTAGAGAGAGAGGCAGAGACTTCCATTAGGTTCAGCAGGAGGGGCCTCGTCTGTTAAAGAGTTTCACCTGACTGGACCCAGGAGATCTTTCTCCCATGGCCTGTCCTCTGGAACATCATTCTCCCTGAGATAAAGTTAGCCTCATCCCCTTTCCTGACAGTTAGAACAATTAATCAATGGAAGTTGTGGGTGCTCCAACACTGGAGGTTTTTAAGAAGAGATTGGACAACCATTTGTCTGAAATTGTATAGGGTTTCTGGCTTGAGTAGGAGTTGGACTAGAAGACCTTCAAGATTCCTTCCAATCCTGTTATTCTACCAGCCTTCCAGAAACTCCACAAATTTGGTTTTTCTGTCAATCATGGGAATCCCATGAGAACAGGAAGCTTGCAAGATGGTTGCATTATGCTTAGGATGTTATTTGTTCTCCCACAGGCTTGTTTGTATTCATATTTTATTTATGCTTAATTATTTTTAAAATTATTATATTTGTTTTTAACTATCTGTCTTGCTGTAGGCTACCCAGAATCATGCTTGTGAAATGGGTGGCTGTATAAAAGTCCTAAATAAGTAGACAGGTTTGTAAAATAGACTCGGGGCATTAGGAAGGGTTTCAGATCCATTCCAAAAACTAAATACATCCCCATTTCAGGACACATCGATATAGTACGTTGTGTCCATTTTACATATTGCAAGATTTCTGAAGAGCAAAAGAACTTTCTTGTTTATTCTTATGACTCAGAGAAGACAGTTGGATTCAGAACTGTGGACTTATTCTAGAAACACTTTGCAATCTGATTAAAATCATAATTATTTTATTTATTCCTCACTTCACCAGACTGGTCCCATTCATTTTTATCATAACACGTAGAAGGTGAGTTAGAATTGGGTCAAATACAAGAACTAAAACTGTATCAAACTGTAAAAGTTTGTTTCCTTCCCTGCTTTCCCAGCACACAGTAGTTAGGACACTATCAATTTCCATATTGTTCCCAAGAAGACTATATAATCATTAAAAGTGCAAGAATGACTCAAGGCAAAAATTGTTTACATAATGAATTATTTCCATAAACAACTACTATTTTGTACAGAGAGAGAACATTGGTGTGGTAAAAATACACAGTGAACAAGGTTTTCAAAACTACTCCTGTGTTTGCAAATGTTTATACCAGAAATGCTTTATTTGATTAGCTTAGTTCCACTGAATTGAATTTTGGAATGGATGTTGAAATTTAGGGTGTTTCCACATAAAAAGGAAGTGACAAGGGCTTTATCAGTTTTCCTTTGTTTTCCTAGAAGAGCCCAAACTTGCAAAATATCAGGCTAATGATGAGGGGATTTTTGTTACGGTGGAACCAATAGCAGCTGAGATGCTGCTCCTTGTTCCTTGTTTTCAGCATTTCAAATCAGTGGAATGGAAGGCAATCACCGATCAGTTTCAAAATAATTCTGAAGTGGTTGGAGTAATGTGGAAGCGCTACCTTAGACTTCACAGAGGAAATTGAACGGTACAAATTATAGTCTTGTCATTTAAGAATGGTTGGTGTCCCCTCATCCAGATAAAACAGCAAAATTATGTGGGAAAGTGTTGAATCAGCCCTGATTACTTGAAAAGAGAGATTAGAAAAACCAAATCTGCTTTTCTCAGCTTTGTGAATGGATGGATAGAAGATGACTGGTGAAACTTCCAGGAAATATCTGAGCAACAGAGGAGAAGGTTATGCTCATAAAGCAAGATTAATTTCTACAGCCCAGCTGCTTTTTCTGTCTGCTTAGTTGATTCCTATCAGTGCAGTGAGTACTATGGGTAGGAACCTTAATTTTTTCTATCTCTCAGAATTCCTACAAACATCAACTCTATAACTGATATTTAATTTTGACATGTTTAATTGCAATAGAGAGTGGTGGGATAATGAAGACAAGATTCAGACCTCTCATGTCACTGTCAGATAGCCATCAGGAAGAGATGGACAGGAGGTAAAGGGGGGCAGCAAGCACTATGGTATTTCTCTTTTGCCTCCTACTCAGATGCTGCCAGCCCACTAGGTAGACCAGACAAAGAAATCAGCTCCAGAGGAAGGTGATTGTTACTTTGATTAAGATTGGCTATAATAACAGGATCTTGAAAGTCTGATTGTGCTATATTTCCTTCCCCTTCTTATAACTGGGAAGCCATATGTCTGAATATTTTCAAAGTTGTTTGGATGTTCTGACTTAAAATATATTTCACCCCTATGCTCCTTATGATGCAGTTTGACTATGATGGAAATACTCATTTACCTTACTGTCTACAGGTGATCTTCTGAGTGGGCGTTTCCAATCACATTAACAGAGCAGTTGACTACAAGGCACATTCCTTGAAGAGTTGTCACAGTGATGAGACTCTTACTTTAAGACAGGGCATCCTGTCTTAAAAGGTTCTCAATGAGAGATTGCCAGTGAGCCATTTTCCTGCAGCCAATAATTTTGCAGCCAAGATAACAATCATGATACTAAATGGAAAATGATGTGATTGCAGGCCTAAGGAAAGAGGGAAAAGTACTTTTTTCCCCAATGTACCAGTTGAATGCAAGATGATTAATTCTTGGAGTTAGCTAGAAGAGGCTCACCCATTCATAGATAATAATCATCAAAGACAGTAAGCCCTAACCCATTATGATGTATCATGTAGCTTCAGTGATCAGTATTTTCAAATGCTATCATCACATACAGCAAATATTTCAAGTTATCAGCTGTCAGATTTTAAAGACCATTTGATGCCAAATACAGATATCAAATAACTGGACCTACTTAGAGGCGTATGTGAGCCATCAAGAATATCTGGAAAAAGTTCAGCATCCCAATTTGCAAAGGAGACATTTTGGGCTGCCAAATTCATTTGAGCTTTATCTTTCACAGAAATGAACGTCAGTTCAAAATGCAAATCAAGAACACAAATATATTTTTCTCCTATAAATAGGCTCATTTTGAACAACCAGAGCCAAGGGCAGTCAGGGTAAGAAACACTACTTACACAAACTGATTGTTGCAATGAAGAAATAGCAGACTTAGTCTATGCTAACAATGCTGACACAAAATCAGATAGCACCTTCAACACTGACCAAATTTATTTAAGCAAAAGCTTTTGTGAGTGAGACTTGTTACTTAATTGCTTTGTAATGACAGAGTCAAACTGTTGCTCATTCTAGAGTCTACGCCTTTTTAAGTCCCAAGTTCAAGTATTTCTGAATTGTGTGAATTGAAACACTCTGCATATGTGTCCAAGCACAGCTGCTGCACAATATATATGCCACATATGTGCAATAAGATGTCACCCCCTGGGAATAACAGTGTTCCCTATAACAGTGCTTCAATTGTCTCTTATTTTTTGCTTTTATTTTGTACCTATTTATCTTGAAGTTTCTCTACTGAAGTTAAGAATGATCTTCAGTGAAGCAGGAAAAAATAAATTTCCAGGGCTGTCGATGGGAAATCTACACCTGAGAGTAAGCCTGCTTCTAACTCATCCCCTTCCTGATTTAGGTCCTAGTCAAATCAAGTGTTGATGGTAAGTTAAGGTCTACAGGAAGAAAATGCTTTATCTTGACATTATAATTCTTTGTAGATTCAACATATTTGTATAATAAATCTGATCATATAAGAGCTTTCTCTCATTAACATTCATAACAATTTCAGAGGATAGTTTAGGAATAGCTTTCCAAGATGTACTCTACTAAATCCTCCTGCTAGCTTTATTTTGATCTCAGTCTAACTATTCCAATTTTGAAATTTGCTGAGAGTTTTGAAAATATATTAGTTCTTTGGCACTGTGGCCATACTGATGACACTTGTGATGAAGTACAAATTATTAATATTGTAGAGTTTCATAATGATTTCCTTTATTGAACGTATGTGTTCTGGAAGCTATTGATGTAAAATAATCTAAAAATAAGTATCCAGGTATTTAATTGCATAGTTTCTCACATTATATGCAAGTCAGCATTTTCTATATGTATAAAGATTTTCTCCCTCTCAACTCATGAAGAAGTGATATATATACTACAAAAGTCAGAGATAATATACTTAACTTACCATTTCCTACACACTCTTCTCCCAGGAGAAAAATGCCTGAAATGAGATAGATGGAATGATAGATGAACAACACTTTATAAAGTGATACTACCACTTTACATGATTTTAATTCTATCCTTCTATTAATGCAACCAAAGATTGCATTCGCTTTTTTTGGCAGCTGGCTTATATTTAAGAGATTGTCCATTAAGATTCCAAGATCCCTTTGACTTTAAACATTACTAAATAGAAATTGTTGCTCTGTTTCTTGTATTGCAAAACTCTTATTCAGAAGATATAGTTTTGATCAAATTTCAATAGCTAGGGAAGTTAACAGGTGAGGCCATTTTCTTACACCTATATTTTTCTTTCTTCAGAGCTGATCAATTTGAAGTCCGAATCCACATTTCCCACCTGAGGTTTGACTTCAGCCCCAGATGACCACTAAATCTGCCCAGACTCATCTATATGAGATGGGTGGCTATATAAATTGGAGTAATAAATAAATGAGATAAAGGAGGCCATCAAATTAGCAAATTAGGGGACTACAGGTGAAGTAATTGTTCAGTGCTTCCATATTACTATCTCTTTCTTGTAGCTGACATTTTGCTACAACAATATACCTATTATCTGCTTTAAAAATATTGAAATGTTGGAAAAGGTAAAAATTTGCTCTCTTGATGTAATAAGCTGCAAATGAACTGACACTTTCTCATCTGGCCTAAGTGCTTGGGAAAGCTTGGTGCTAACAGGTACATGTTAACAAGGAACATGTTCATGTCACATTGTTAAGTATTTTTGGATGGGTGGTCAAGCGAAGCTGCCTTTCAAGCTGCTTCAGAAAGGAGAAATATTAATAAACTCCTGGCAGCATGCAGATTTGATTGAATTTCTCATGGATCACAGCCTGCTTGCAGCAGTGTGGCGTACCTGTCAAGCAAATACATTGTTCCATAATTGTTCTTGATGCATTGTGTGCTAATTACCATTGCTGAAAATAATCTCCAAAGATTATAGCAGGCGTCATAAATAACCAACCGGCAGTTCAACACTGCATTATGACAGGACCTCAATCGTTCTTATCTTTTGCTGGAGTGGAGCTTACACATTAGTGTTACTAATGAATCTTTTTCATTTGTGCAAGTGATGTTTCCATTTGACAATGACATGAACATAAAGTGGAGGTTAATTTACTCAATTCCAAGAGGTTCATTATTTAACCTGACGTTGAGGACAAAACAATGTAGCCTAATAGATGGCACACAGAAATTAGTTGTGATGAATCTTGCCATTTAATGTTTCTGAATTCAGTGGCATGTTTGGCATCAGTATGGCAGAGAAAGTGCTACTTTACCAACAGAGTCCCTCTAGACAGCAGTGAGGGGTTTTTTATATTTGTTTGTTTTTGTTTCTTTTCATGAACTGGGCCAATAACTTGTAAAACTGCAATGGATTAACAGCAACACAAAAGGTACCCTGTATTAATAGTCAAAGCCTGTTACTACCGTATGTCAATTTTTATTAAATTAGTTGGCATTAGTCTCCACCACCAACTGCTTTACAAGTCAGTGAATTGGATCAGATTCAGATCACTATTAGAATTGCCAGTTTAAACACTCAAAGCTAACTGAAGGCCCTGACAAAAATACTAGTCGTGCTCATCACTTTTCAGATCAAAACTCTTAGCAATCAAGGAATACCTAGTCACTGGAGAGCCATTTGTGAATCAGACATTTTATCGTAAATTGATGAGAGTAGATGGCATGAAAGAGGCTGGTTTTCATACACAATTTTTCATAGGACAAACATATCCACAGAGGCTTTGAGACCATAGCAGGTGAACATACCTTTCTCTCCTTCAGAATTACTTAGCCCCATCTCCAATGAACTTCCTTAAGATTAGCCTGAAATAAAGCTATGGAAAGGCATTACAGCTTCCTAAATGGAATCTATTCAAGAGATCAAAAGGATGAAAATATCCATAATGCACCCTTAGCTTAGAAAACACTTAAGGTTGACAATATGCCTCAAAACTGCATCTGATACCAGATTTAGGAGTTGGAGAGTGAGGCATATTTGCTCAATATGATCAAGGGCAGCTGTGGTGGTCTGCAAAGAGACTGCCTTTTTAATATATCAGTCCAAGAGAACCCTCTGTCCTGAGTGTTTTAATTATAAAATGTCATGGGATTATCTAAATTTAGTAGGTCTGAAACTAACAAATTGAGGTTTTCATTTTTCATGCTATTACACTGTTTTCTACAGGATGGAAATCCACAATTGTCTTTTTGTTGTTGTTTTGCAGCATTGAGGGATAAAGGCTTCCTTTGAACTAGTGGCTGAGGTTTCCAGAAATATGTTGGCAAGGTATAGGACACCCTTACAATAAGTAAGATAGCACCTACAAATAAGTTGAAATATACCTGCCCCACTCTGTCATTGACCATGTTAAATGGGAACAATGTGTGTTGTAAACCCACACATTTGGACTGGAAAGGTTGGAAAGTTTACTACAGGGCAAAGCAGTGGCTGGAACCCAGAAAGGAAGGGAAGGTTTATATAATGCTAATTTCTAATCAATTATATCCAAAATGACACATAAATGCTTATAACTAGAAAAGCTATAAAAACATGTTGCTGCATATAATACAATTTAAGGATTATACTATGTCAATTAATATGCTATCATCAGTATGGTTTGAATCAAGAAAATAGTTTCCTTGTTTATTGCCGGAATATATTGTGGTGTGTTTTCAAGCGATGTTATTTATAGTTTGTAGTAAATTAGCCGAGCAATTTGCTATAAATTCTGGAGTCATATTTTTAGCAGTGACATATTGTACAGGACAAACATTGACCTTTCCCATGCCATAAACAGAGGGAAGGGCCACTGGTATATCCATCATAACCCTGCCTTTTGTGATTTCATATCACCACAGCATCAGATTCTCACAGAGCATAAAATTCTTCTGCTCTTAACAGTAAATATAAGATTATCTAGTTAGACCTGTATTTTTGCATTTCAGTGGCTACATAAGGCCACTGTGTTTTTGTCCTTATAGATTCTTTGGGACATGGGAAAACCTTAGAAAAATAATTTCCCTGTATTGTCTTACTCATATCTACTTAAAAATCAGACCCATTGAGTTCAGTGGAAGTTATTCTCGAAGATGCATAGGTTTTCATATTATCCACCAATTTGCTTTCTTTGGATATCATAAAATAGCCAGATTGATTTGGTCAAAATTGTATGGTCATGAAATCAAATCCATGTGCAGATTGGAAACATTGTGTTTTGCTATTTGTGTGCATTGTGGAACTATAACTATTAAGAGTGTCATCCACATAGGGGACTACCCTCCAAAACCAATGGAAGATAGGTAGATATTTATGGATTAGAGTTAGAATTGCTTTCCACTATTTCAATAACTACATAAACTTCATATTAAATTGACAAAACCACTACCAAGTAGTGACCACTAGGATTATTTTTTACTTTTCATGTTATCATAAAATCATAAGTACTTCCTCTACATTTCCAGAATAGCTATATAATATGATTCTGTGTGTGATGTTGGAGTCATTGGGTTATCTGGCCTGTTAGGCTGAGTCATCAGCTGCAGTAGGCCAAGGTATGCGGAAGTCAAAAGTGAAAAAACAAGTTTGTGCCGTGCGGTGCAAGGGAATGTTGTTTTGGTGTTTGTTAGTGCCGTGTGCAACAGCTGTATAGTAGCGTGTGCAAAACAAAGTTAGCACGTGTAATATGCTAATATGCTGTGTCATAACAAATGTGGTTGGTGTAAGGTGGTCACCAGGTGCCTATAAACCCGCCTTCTGATAACACAATAAAAGGGATGCTTCGTCTTTGTTCGAGGCTCCCATCCCGAGGAAACCACGTGTACGTGTCTGTTCTTCAACACCCATGGGAGACCGCTGGGCGCGTGAAAACCCACAGTGTGATTTTTTTCAAGAATAAGCTTTTGGAGGAAGTACTACAGAAAATAAACATTTGATTGGAAATTTAACAAGCAAAGAATTTTTATCAGTCTGATCTTTTTATAGGAATTAAATTAGTTTTATAATCTTTTTCTCATATTAGCACAAGATATTAAATATTGTGAATATGCAATCTTAACTGTTCACAATGGACTGGGATATAAACTTTTTTAAAAATCCATAGACATCTAATGGTAAGATGGAGAAAATGGTAATGGATGATACAAATAATAAACTTGGTCACAATCCCATACATATTTGGAATATTAGTCTAGAGAATAGTAAATTTCAAAGGAAGAATCATATTTTTAGAGGAGATTTTACAGATAACTATTTGTGAATAAATATTCAGTTCAATGGAAAGGCTAGTTGCTGGATTTCAGATATGAAGGCTTTTTTTTTTTCTTTTAGAATTTAAACTAGATTTTAATATGGCTTTACCAAATCAAACCATAGAGAGATAAACACATAATACAGCATCAGTCACTAAAGTTGTCTAGC